ATCATCATTTGAATCTTTCTGTATTTGTTGTAAGTTTTTACCTATCATATAAAGCATTGTGTCGTCAGCAAAAATAATAATGTCACACCTTATTGTTGCTTCAACCATGTGATTGATATAAATCAAAGCTAACAACGGCCCCAAAACCGTTCCCTGCGGTACACCATATTTAACATTAACAGGCTCGGATAGACAATTCTTATGAAATACACGTTGAAATCCATTATCGAGATATGGCTTAAACCACTTTAAAAAATTATGCCTGATTTCTATAAGCTCTGATTTACTTAATAAAATATCCCTATCTACTGTTTCAAAAGCTCTCCTAGAATCTAGAAAAACGGCTAATACATAGTAGTCACAGTCGATGGCCCTAAGAAAATCATCACAAATACCAACAACAACAGACTCGCAATAATGATTCACTCTAAGTCCTGATTGGTTAGGAACAATAATTTTATTAGTATCTGTAAGTAATGTAGCAACTGTTCTTCAACTGCAACCTCTAAAGCCTCCTCATATATGGGCACTGTATTTATTGGACAAAATTCATTATATAATTTTGTGCTATTTACCTTAGCAACAGGAATGGCAGTTATTAATTTCCAAGGTTCTGGAAAATGAACATTGCTAAGTGACGTGTTAATAATATCTAAAAGACGATAATCAGCTGCATACACTGCGTCACAAAAGACTTGCTTTGAAATACCACCTTCACCCCCACCCACATTCCTAAGGCTTCCAATTATTTCCTTCCTTCATTTTTGCCGTTTTTCAAAATTTTTAATGAAACATGACTAATCGATAGTTATCGTAAGGTCATCATTAGCATCCTTATCTGTGACGTAGTTATGTAAATCCCTGTATTGCTTGTTGTCAAAGCAGCAAAACATGGCTGATAACGAAAAAGGAGTAATTGGCCAATTAGAGAGTAATTTTTCAGCATGAAGTAACGCTCTGGCCAGAACCGGTCGCCATCGTGTCTCCCTCCTCTAATTAATGAGTCCGCTTCCCGCCGTGATGCCGCTATTATGGCCGCCATGTTTCATTTCAACTGCCTGCTCTCCGATCCCCATATTTTCAGTCAACCTACTGGTTAATGGAGACTAGTGGACGTCTGAACTTACACGTTAATGCAGCATTCATATCCCTCATATCGCGGCCTTGGTACGATACTTTGTTAGTTTGACATAGGCCAGCTTCAAGTATGAACTGTTCCAAGGACTCTTTAGGTTTGCAAATCTAGAACAGTGGTCGCCAACCCGTCGATCGCGAGCTACCGGTAGCTCGTGAAGGCAATTCTCACAATAAACACAAGCAGCGGTAACACTGCTGTGAGCGATCTGTTCGAGAACGATCTCGATTACTATGAACGGAATAAATACGCAAGGTGCGGCACTAGTGCGCTCAGTTTAAAACTAAACGACACAAAGTGCATCGGTTGGGATAGAATTGGCCTGCAGTTAAAAACATTATGAGCAGTGGTAAGGAGATGAAGACGAAGAAGATTATTCAAGACCTTGGCCGATGAAATTGATTGTCTATACGGGGAACTACTTCTTCAGTCTTAAGTCCGCTGGATAAGTAGGGGACGAGTGCTGAAACGTTTTAATGGTGTATGTGCCATAGTTCAATTTTTCGAATAACGTGATGAACCCTACTGAGCGAGGGCCGTGGCAAATGCTTGTTCCGGAAGTTGTTGTATCCAGTATACAACTTCTTCCCGTCCAAGTGATTGTGCACGCGTTAAGGAATACCTCAGTACCGATTGCCGGGTGGCGGTACAAGTCCGCCAACGGGCCACTTTAGGTCTATTTAACATCACTAACACGTAAAAAGAAGGTGGTAGACAAGGACCAGTCAACCGAGGCAGTATCGCCCGCTAGCTTTTCCCAGGGTGTCTTATAAATGTCCGCATGTTTCCACACCTAAGCTATGCAGTCGGTTATCTACCAAAACAAAAAAATTAATGATGATGGATCCCTCTAGCACTAAAAACTCCGGACGTAAACTCACTCCACTATCGTAATGTCCGGGTGGAGGGTGGGCTCGAGGGAACAACATCTATGATAAAATTTGTTTTTCGAACATCTGCGGGATCAACAGCAACATTGATGCTGTTCATCACTACCTGCAATCCAATCGTCCAGCCGTGCTTTTCTTGGCGGAGATAAAAATCTCAGAGACTGCACCGATTAATCATCTCAACTTCCCAAACTACGAGATGCACTCCAATCTGAGAAAGAACGGGGGAGTTGTGGCTTTTGTCCGCAGCAGTCTTTCCTGCTCCAGGGATATTTCTTTGGAATCATACCGAAAGGACATTCTGTGGCTTCGCCTCAGCTCCAAAACATCACCCAAATTTATTTGCTGCCTTTATCGCTCTCCCTCGAACCATAACTGGGATGATCTACTCGAATACCTCGCCGTCCAGATCGACTTCCTGAACATCAATCACCCCGCTTCAGAGGTAGTTCTTCTCGGTGATTTCAATGCCCATAATGAGCTTTGGTTGGGCTCAAATAAGACCGATGCAGCAGGTCGTGCAGTCGAAGCGTTCGCTCTTACTCAAGGGCTGACCCAGCTGGTGACGAGCCCTACTTTTTTTCCCCGCATCTCGTCGCAAGCCAGTAGCCTGCTGGATCTTTTTCTGACCACGCATCCTGCCCCTTACAGCACTGCTGTCCTGCCCCCCCTGGGTAACTCAGATCACGGTGTTGTGGAGGTTAGGTTTCGGTCAGAAGCCGCTGTGGCAGCAGAAACTCGCACAGGCCGCAAAACTTGGCATTACGGACATGCCGACTGGGAGGGGCTCAGGGCTCTTCTCTAGCTTTCCTTGGAGAGACGTCTGTTTCACTGACGCGGATGCTCCGGCTGTCTGTTCTTCGATAACCGAAATTATCCACGTCGGAATGGAGGAGTACATCCCTCACACAGTGAAAGTTCCTAAACCAGGGTCCAACGACTGGTTCAACAAATCGTGTGACACTGCTCGCCAGCAGAAGATCACGGCCCACAGAACCTACTTACAAAACCCCACTGTAGAAAACAGACAAGCCGACGTCGAGTCCAGCATGATATAAAAGTTAGGCACAGGGTAATGTCGCAGCGCAATGGCAGTCGGTCTTTCTGGACGCTGGTCAAGCAGATTGAGAAGAACTTCTCACACAGTAGCATTCCACCACTTACGTGTCAGGATGGAACTATTGTATTCGACTCAAAGGCCAAGGCGGAAGTGCTAGCCAAGATCTTTGCTGCCAACTCCACCATGGACGTCCCCACCAACGCCCAAGTGCCGTCAATTCAAAGGGTTCCCCACACTATGCGGGAGGTAACATTCAGACATAAGACCGTAAGACGAGTGCTCTTGTCGCTCGACATCAACAAAGCTTCTGGTCCGGACTTGATTCCTGCCATTGTACTGAAGAGGTGTGCAGCGGAGCCTGCTCCAATTCTTTCGCGACTCTTCCAGATATCTTATGAATCCAGCACCTTCCCAGAAAACTGGAAATTTGCTCATGTACAGGCCATCCCAAAAAAAGGATCTAAAACCGACCCTTACAACTTCAGGCCCATAGCTCTGCTTTCTGTTATAAGTAAAGTGTTGGAGAGGTGCATAAATCGCGAGCTTCTGGACTACCTCGAACGTCACAGTTTGATTAGAGACAGGCAGCACGGTTTCCGGCACCAACGATCCACAGGGGACTTCCTAGCTTACGTCACGCAACTGTGGAGTAAACTCACCCAGTCTCATGGTGAGGCTCATGTCGTTGCTCTTGAGATCACGAAAGCGTTCGATTAGCTGTGGCACGCTGCCCTCTTAAGCAAACTTCCATCCTATGGCCTCCCAGAAAAGCTTTGCAGATGGGTGGCTGACTTTATCTCTGGCCGCAAGATATCCGTCGTAATTGACGGATTCTCCTCTTCATCCCACAACGTCAACGCGGGTGTTCCCCAGGGATCGGTCTTGGCTCCCAAACTGTTTCTCTTACATATCAACGACCTCCTTTCCTGCACGATCAACCCAATCCACAGCTTCGCTGATGACAGCACTCTGCATGCAGGAATTCAGAGTGACAAGCCGATCTCTGTCGCTGAGCTGGAAAAAAGAAGACTAGCAACGACTTCTTCTCTGACAAGGGACCTGGAGGCTATCACTGCTTGGGGACGCAACAATCTTGTACAGTTCAATGCTTCCAAAACACAGTACTGTACTTTGACGAACAAAAAGCGTCCTAGCGCTCATACAGTTTCGATGGACGGTCGAGTTCTACCAAAGAGCCATTCATTTCGGCTGGTCGGAGTCCAGATCACCGAGGACCTGATCTGGCACGAACACATCTTTTCAATAGCTGCAGCTGCTGGGAAAAAGCTAGGCTATTTGTTGAGGGCTAAGAAGTACTTTTCTCCGCATGACCTTCTCACTCTATACAAGGCCCAGATAAGGCCTAGCCTCGAGTATTGCTCATACATTTGGGGGGCTGCCGCCCCGACTACATTATCCGTGCTCCATGCTGTCCAGAGGAGGGCGGTCCGACTGATCGACGACTGTTCTCTAACAGACAGTCTCGGGACTCTTTCGCACCGGCGGGCCGTCGGCGATCTAGCTCTTTTCTATCGCTACACCCACGGGCTTTGCTCCTCAGAGCTCTCTTCCATGATGCCGCCGCGCGATGTGCCTGCCAGACAGACCCGCCTGACCTCGGCGTCCCATCTTAACCGTGTCAAACTTCGTACATCCAGAACTGGCCGATACGACCGCTCCTTTGTCCCGAGGGTGTCTAGTTCTACGAACCTTAGGCAGTTCAAAAATCGTATTAACAAAATTTCTTTGGGATCATCATAGCAGCCGCGGTGTTCCGGTATTTAGGCTTCTGCCTGCGCGGCTGTTTCGATATTAAAAAAAAAAAACCGATTCCGGAACTGGAAAATTCAATCTGGCTTAGAGATTTTGGTTTTCTTGGGATATTACAGGAAAATTGAATGAACTTAGTTTGCAGCTTCAGGGGAGAGACAAAGAACTAACAGAAATGATTGTGACATAAAAGCGTTTATTAAAAAGCTTGAGCTTTGGGAACAAAGCTTAATCGATGGCGATACCAGGCATTCTCCTGTTCTTTTAGAAAAGATACCTCGACGCCCATTAGAACCATATGACTGTAAATATCATGTAGGAATCGTCTCCAACTTGAAGGATAACTTCAAAAATCGTTTCAAGAACTTCAACGACATTGGTATAGTGGCGCAATTTGTTGTTCCACCCTTCATGGAAATTGATGTCGAACAGCTTGCAACTGCTATTACGCAGAATTTTAGCAAATACATCGCTTCATCAGAAATGGAAATGATTAGGTTTCAAAATGATTTAGCTTTAAAATCATTAGTCTCAAATACAAAATGTATCTGGCGTTCGGTGAGTAAAGATAAATATTCAGTTTTGTGTCGTGTTGCTTTGAATGTGAAAGCGTTATTTAGTTCAACCTATTTGTGTTAATCTTCTTTTTACAGATGAACATTTGGATAGTTGTACTCGAATGGCGGTATCAAATTATACTCTAAACATTAAAAAAATTGTCAGTGAGTCTGAGTGCCAGACTTCTCATAGAACAAGCATTTTTATCTAGACATGTTTTTGCTTGAATTAGTGCGTTGCTTTTTTTATTTTTAGTTACCTTTATTGAATCGTATGTGACATGCCATTGTAGCTGACGAAACATTTTGTTTATTTTTCAAACATCTAAGATTGGTAGGAATGGATGTAGTTATGTAGCATGTATTAGTTATTAGCTCTTTTTTAGTTTATTATTAGTATGTCGCATACAATTTCATACATTACATTGCTCACAAATAGGTAGTTCACTGGTCATTCCAAAATTATCAAAGTAGCTCAACCGCTGGTCTAGATTAATGACCGCTGAAGCGCTACTATCGCATCTGTTTACAGAGGAAGGCAAAACTGGCAAGCTGGCAAAATAAGTTGGTATTCATAATATACATGTCTGTGTCGGGTCCCAAATGATCCGCTAGTAACAATAGAAAAAACTGTAGAGTAGATACGACAACCTCTATCAGAACGGCATATTTATTTTGTCATTTAACATGATTTCACTTTTACAAGGTTGGCAGTAGTATCCTAAACCAGCACTTCAGCTGTATTTGTACAGAGCAAATAGGACGACAGTAAGTAATTAACACTGATTGTCAGCACAAGCTGAGCTCAACACAAATTTTCTTATAAGTTGTTGAATAAAGGGGTACTTTTTAACAATCAAAAAGTTGATGAGGCTAAAGGCGTATTAAGATACTTAACGCCAAAAGATTGATATTGAGAGAAT